TTTCAAGGCAAAAAATTATGAAAAAAAATCATAAATTTTTTTAAAAAAACCCCAAAAAATATTGAATTTTTTTTCTATAAATACCAATCCATACTCTTCACTTTTAACAACAAATTCACTTTCTACTCAATAATTTTTTCACTTTCAACTCTAAATTTTTTTCACTTTCAAGTTTAATTATTCACTTTCTACTCAATAATTTTTCACTTTCAACTCTAAATTTTTTTCACTTTCAAGTTTAATTATTCAACTCTAAGAAAATTTATCTGAAATTTGAAACTGAAAATTTTATCCGAATATCTTATCAGAAAATCTCATCCGAATATATTGTCCAAATTAATTGTTTAGGTAAACAAATTTGTAAAAAAACAAAAAATTGAATAGTACCCCCTTGCCATAGCAACTGCTGGAAGTGGAACTTACTTTTTGCAAGGGCAGACACTATTCTCGTGAATAGTGTCAGCCCTAGCCCCCCTTGCCGCAAGATTTCAACTGCTGGAAGTGCCCTTAGAGAACCAACTTTTGGCTCTCTACATCTAGCAATGAGGAAAGAGAAATGGAGACTCGCCAAATTGAAAAGAAAGATAAAATGAGAGAAAATAATAATAAAATATTTTAGATTAGCCAAAACAGAGAACATTGCTGGAGAAAACACCTTTTAAGTGATTTGCTATAATAGCTTTCTAACTTTTTTATCTAGAATTTAGAGACTCTCCTGAGATGCTCTAGCACTAAAGTGAAAATCTCAACAAACAAAAAACAAAAGAAAACAAAAAACATATGGCTTCGCCCAGTCTCGAACTGGGGACCTTCAGTGTGTTAGACTGACGTGATAACCAACTACACCACGAAACCTTGTTGTTATGTCTCCTCAACATTTGGGGTTTAATACTAAATAGACAGCTGACTAATATCAAAGGGGGAGGTACTGACTCATTTTGCTCAGTAGCACAGAGCACAGGGGAACAGGAAGAGGTTGGGCGACAAAGATGATAAGCACCGGTAGGCTTTCACCTTCCTGCAATTACAAGTCTCTTTCCACCACCGGCCTCTCATTCTCACCATACAAAGCCCACTTGGGCTTGGCCTTCTTCCCACCCGCATCTTCAAGCTCTTCGCTCCTCACCACTAGTTTCAAAACCAGCTTGTTCCTCTCTCCCATTCAACAAACCCAACGCACAATTCTCGGCTTTCGCGGCGTCCATGGCCAGAGAAGTAGAGTTTCCCGAGTCTCTGCCCGAAAAAATCAGCGAAAAGGCGGCGTTGAGCTCTTAGAAATGGACGACTCTGATGACGAGGAGTTGGACTTGGACTTGTTGGACGGCTCGGATGATGAGTTGGGTGGCGACGGTGACGACAAAGAAGATACGTTTGTGCCGTTTGGGAAGATGAAGAAGTGGCTGGAGAAGAAGCCCCGTGGGTTTGGCGAAGGCAAAGAGTACGACATTTCAATTGAAGAGAAGCTGCTCGAAGAAATGGAGAAGAGTAGACAAGCGCAGGCTGAGAATCTCACTAAGCTCTCAGACGACCCTGAAAACCTTAATTCCAAGCAAGACCAAAGCAAGAACAAGAACAAAGGTCTGCGTCTGTCTTCATTGGCTCTAAATCACACTCAGTCACTCACTCTCTAATTTACGATTGAATGTTTTACTTCAATTTTACTGCATTTGCAGCTGAAGAAGTGGTTCCAGCTGGAGTTAGAGTTCGTGTGCTGAACCTTCCGAAGAAGAAGAACATACATAGGGATTTGAGCGCAGCTTTCAAATTAGTCCCTGGTTTGCTTAGCATAAACCCTGCGGTTTCTGGAAACAAGAAAACTAAGGACCCCATTTGCAAGGGTTTTGCTTTTGTTCATTTTAAGTCTGAGCAGGATGCAACTAGGTATGTTTTATGTTTAAAGTTATGAAATGGAATTCAAATTTTAAAACTTTTGCTGGTAACAATTATAAGAATATGAAAAAAGGTAGTGATTGATGAGAAAGTGCAAAAGTTTTGGGCTATGAATGTGGATAGGTGTGGTATATTAATGTAGAACAGGTTACAGGGCACACTTTCAAGTATGCTTATTGAGATTTGAGAACACTATCAAGCATGCATATTAACATTTGCCTTTTGATCATAGGCATAGTGGGATAAATCTTATTGTTTTGCTGGCATTCTATTATCTGAAATGATTGGCATTCCTCTCATGGCAGGTTTGTTGAAATGTTCTCTTCTCAGAGTGTTCAATTTGGTAAAATTCAGAAACAGATAAAATGCGAGTTTGTAGATTCGCAAGCCCTGAATTATGAGCAGAAAAAATCAACAGATAACCATACTGCTCCTCGACTAGCTGTTTCTGGACTGGGAGGAAGTCAGAAAGCTGTTGCTGAATTGGATGTTTCTTCCCTGGATACATGGGAGGAGACCATACCTGATGAATATGACGGCTCTGATGTGGAGCTTGTTGGACCAGAACTGGATGATGCCATAGATAATATGCAGAGAGCTGATTCTGACTTTGATGATTCTTCCCTGGACACATGGGAGGAGACCATACTTGATGAATATGAAGGCTCTGATGTTGAGGTTGTGGGACCAGAACTGGAAGATGCCATAGAGAATCTGGACTCTACCAGTAGGTCAGACCTAAATGGTGGAGATAGAGATAGCATGGAATTAAGGACAGAATCTGAGTCCTTATTAGCACATTCATCTTCCTCAAAGCAGCTACTTTCCAAGAGTAAAGAAGAGAAGCTTCCTCACCGAAAGCCGGTTGTGAAAGGGAAAGCAGAAAGGTCTCCCAAGAAGAAACTAACTGTGAAAGAAAAAACAGTGAAGGTTCCAAAATTGACTGTGGGGGGATCTGCCAAGAGGTAATCAACTACTTTTTGCAGAAGTTTTCATTTGTTTTTATTTCTTCTTTTAATGGAAAAATTACATTAAGTTTGTTGATCACGTTGCAGGTTAAAGGTCAAGGAGAAGGCTGTGCTTAACGATGTGTTCTCAAAATATGGGGCAAAAGCTACTTTGGCTACGAAGGAAGATAGCTAACCACCAGTAACCAGGCTATTGTAAATCTTTTTGATCGAGAAAAGGAAACCATAACTATGAGTATGATGTGTAACTGTAAACTGGAAAGTGCAAATTCATGAATGAAATATGCTCTTCTTCCCCTTCTTGCCGTCGATGTTATAGTTGATTATCTTGTCTAGAAACCTTTGGTTACACTTCCGTTTACAGTCTTATAATATAACATGTCAAATTGTCTCACGAGTCACAACAAAACATGTCATTCAGTCGGTTCGAATCAGTACATAATGCTAATGGTTTTGCCTTATTTTCTTATCTTTCTATTTCTACGCAAAAGTTGGTTAGGCCGGGAGATGTTCTTTAAACGTTGACGTTGAGAACATAAATAAATGATGTCGTATTGTCATATGGGCCTTATTTTCTAACTGAGTAAGAAAAGTCAGAAAATTACCTATTCTTCTATGTTGCCTGTTTGTATAGTAGTACTGTAATTGTGATTGGTTTTCTTTCCTGTTTCTATCAACTCTATCTGTCCAGGGTTTAGCACTATCTACTTCTTTATAAATACCTCCTCTTTGGAGAAGAATACAGACCAGAAAATTCTCATATACTTTGGCTTCTTCCAATTTCATAGGATTTGATTATCTCTCAAACTTTCCATTACCCAATCAATTCCTTACTTTTGTTTTTCAGTTAGGAGAAGTGAGCCTTAGATATTATTATTTACATTATGCTCCATAGAAGGGGATACTATGCTATTATTTTGGGCACCGTATGTTTTTTAGGTGTAGCCTTTTTTGCATGTTTTGGTTTAATTATCTTTTACAATCTGTAAGAACCCGAGTTCAGCGTCACAAATGCCTTTCTTACCCAATTCGACTTCGACAGAGCCACCGACCAGAGTCTCCACTACAACCTTGCTCTTGACATCACAATAACAAACCCCAACAAAGGGGTAGGCATAGAGTACTGTGACATCCAAGCCATTGCAATGTGTGGACATAAGATGTTTGCTCTCTCAAGGTAAGCAGTTGGTGCAGTTTGAAGAAGCTCAGATTTGCAAGTTTAAATCCGAGACCGTTGCTGGTGTCTATAGTATTGACTTGCAGCTTGCTCTTCGGGTGAAGGCTAGATACGGTAAGTCATTCAATGGCAGAAGTAATAAGATTGGCATCCTTTGCAAGTTGTTGGTTCCTTTGACTACTTTTGGAATATCTGTTGATGGCAATGACAGCGAGTGTTTCAACACTACAAAGTGCTTCAATACTAATAAATTCTTTCCCGAAATTTACTAACCTTTTGTGGCAATCTTCCTTATTTCATTTGGGATGTTCTCTTTTCAACATTGTCATGGTGTTTAAGTTTTTATTTTATAAACCTCTAATAGTCATACTTAAACAAGGAGTTACAAAAGCATAATTAAATTCAATTTGGCTCAATTAGATCCAGTATACAGACCTACAGTAGTTGTGCCGTGCCACTGTGAACATGGAAACCCAAGTTAAGCTCATTATTCTCCCTAATAATACACTTTTTTTTGCCAGACATAGCAGTTAATTCAAACATTATATTATAAGCAAAACATCCTCCCTGCAGGCTTTCTGTAGAAGACCCTGCATAGCAATTAATTCAAATATTATTAGTCTTATAATATAACATATCAAATTGTCTCACAACGAAAGACTCATGCCATTCGATTGGTTCGAATCTAAATATAATGCTAAATTCACCTAAATTTGTTAATAGTTTTGCCTTATTTCCTTATTCTAGAGGACAAAAATTATAGAGGAGATTCCTTTATGTTCGATTCTCTCCTCCCAATATTTATTGTATGAAAAAAAGGAAAAGAAAGAAAAACGTTAAATGATGTCGTGTTGTCACATGGGCCGTGGCCCACAACTGATAGTTAGCCGGCCCAGTCAAACCCAAATCCTCTTCTATCTCTCTGCCTCTGGCCCTCTCGCTCTGTTTCGAAACCTGGACAATCCATCCTGACACTGCGTGTGTGATGAACTGCTTGTCGCACGTTTCGTCATACACAACCGCCATTTTCAGAAGGAATGGTCGTTTCATGGCGACGAGTTTTCTGTACAGACCTTGTTCGTGGAAAAGAAAATTGGACCTTTCGTGTGGGGTTAAGTGCATCAACTTAGAATCAACGAGATTCCATGCTCAGCTCTACTCGTCTCGAAGCAAAGCCAGCAGCAGCAAGACGACGTCGTCTCGTACACGGAGGAAGTCAGAAGCTGAACCGGTTGTGGAGCTGGAAAAAGATGCCTTCTATGTAGTGCGCAAAGGAGATATTGTTGGTGTTTATAAGAGTTTCAGCGATTGTCAGGCTCAGCTTAGTTCTTCGGTAAGTTTTCATTTTTCTTTTTCTGGGTTAAATGGGTTAATGTGCTTGAACTTCACTTCACTTCACTCTTTATTTTTTGTTTGGAATTGTTGTAGATATTTGATCCTCCGGTTAGTGTGTACAAAGGATACTCTTTGCCTAAGGATACTGAAGAGTATCTTGGTTCATGTGGACTTACGAATGCCATTTACACAATCGCGGCTGCAGATTTGAAGGACGATATTTTTGGCAAGCTTATGCATTGCCCTTTTCAAGTAAGAGTTCACTTGCTACCCTCTGCAATTCGTTTTCCGATTTCGATTTCAAAAAGGCAAATTTTTTACTGTGTGCCCATTTGGAATTAAACTCCTAATTAGACTTCCAATGGACCAGTGAGATTTAGGCTTCCAATTTCAATTTCAAAAGTCCCCATTTGAAATTGAACTCCTAATTGTGCTTCCAATGGACCAGTGAGATTTATCATTTATGGCGTAGCAGTTGATTGTGCTTGTATCTTGTATTATATTTTATTTTTAGTAATTGTCAGCTTCCTTTGCATGTTCTGGAGTAAGATAAAAAATGTACTATGCGCAACAGAGACACTTTTAACTTTGAGGTTGAAAAATGTAATAATTAGTCTGAGCTCAAGCTTTTTTGGACAGGTGTTTTTGAATTAATTTGAGTTGCTTCTCCATGCATCTCGTACTCATTATCTATAGATTGGGAGTATAATTTATTTCGTTTTCACTTCAGGATCCAGCATCTTTGCAAGGTGGAGCATCCGTCATGGATGCACTCAAAAAGAGATCCCATGAAGTGCCAGCATCAGATAATTTGGTGAGTTCATAATCATGGCTATCTCTGAAATACCCTCATTGGAGAAAGCGAAGAACAATTGTTGTATTCTTATTTCTGACTATCTACCAGTAAAATTTGTTGTATTCTTGAGCATTTCTATTTCTTTGTAGACAATAAAGATACATTATCTCGTGTGTTTCTGGGTATTTTCTATTTTGTTTCTTGTTTTTCCCTATTCAAATGTTCAGCTTCTTTTGTATTGTTAATTGTTTTGGTTTGCGTATAATATGATATAACTACAATTTAAAGACGTTGTAGGTTGATTATGTTCTGTGCCTTGTGCGTCAGATGCATTTTGATTTTGCTGCTTTAGTTTCTACTTGTTTCAATGCTTTGCAGGAAGTAATTGGTTCACCTTCCATAGCAGATGATCCATTGAGAAAGCATGTCAAGATAGATCATTCCACTCAATCATTACCCTTAGATTCTGTAAGTTGAATTCGTGGTAATGCCAATGATGTGTGATGATTGGAAAACAAGCTTTTATTGTTTATTTTTTTAAAGATGCTATAAATATAAACCCCTTTGCCCACTTTTTGGTGTCTCTCAAGTGATCTTTCACAGTCTGGAGTTCTGTACATTATTATCATTTCTTTGCACTTGTGTTGTTTAACCAAAAAAAAAGAAAAAAAAGAAATGGAAAATGATTTGGTGGTCATCTTATATTTTTAGGGCTTCTGTACTCTTGAGTTTGATGGTGCATCAAAAGGAAATCCTGGACTAGCTGGTGCTGGAGCTGTGCTGCGAGCTGATGATGGAAGTTTGGTATGCATTTTAGCTTTAGAGTTTGCATACTTTAAAACACAAGAAGAGTCTTCTCTATGACCATGCTTCTTCTGTAGATCTGTAAACTTCATGAAGGTCTGGGTGTTAGAACCAATAATGTTGCTGAGTACCGAGCTCTGATTCTAGGGCTAAAATATGCTCTTAAGAAAGGTTTTACTAAGATTCGTGCCAAAGGTGACTCCAAACTCGTCTGTATGCAGGTATGTTTTTATTTTTGTTATCTTCTGCTAAGGGTGATTTATCTTATCTGTTTCTGTCATGGATTGTTATACTTTGTAATTCTTTTTCTGTTTAAAATGGTTTTAATCAAACTCCAGGGACATCTGCTGCACTTTCAGTCTTTAGTTTGCATGTACTGGTTAATGTTTTTAGATGCCAATGCAACCATCTTTAAGTTGTCCTTATTGATTTTGAAAAAGAAAATTTGATTTGACATATGCTCTGTTAGGGTCTTTAAGCTTAAAACACTGTGTACAGTGTTGTAATTTCTCAAAGGGCCCTTCCTTACATCCAGTGTTTATGGTGTTTGATGCTTCTGGCGTTCTGTATTTGTTATTTCCTTTTTTCTTTTTTCTTTTTTCCTGCAACTGTATAACTGTGATGTTACTGGAACAGGTGCAGGGGTTATGGAAGGTCAGAAACCAGAACATGTCTGATTTGTATGAAGAGGTGAAGGAACTGAAGGATAAATTTCTCTCCTTTGAGATCAGTCATGTTCTCAGGGTGGGTAAAGTCGATTCTGTTTATATTATGTGCTCTACAATACTTTTGTGGGTTTATATTACAATTCTTGTTAAATGCTCGTCCATCCCATTAATTCACCACCTCATTTCGGCTGCTTATAATGTTCTGAGATTTTCTTGTATAACCAAAAGGAACTCAATTCTGAGGCAGATGCTCAAGCAAACTTGGCAGTCCGTCTTACGGGTGAGGCTTTCAAATCTGTGTTTGCGTTTATGCAGTTTCTGGATTCTGTATATGGTCAATCTAATTTATCAATGTATATGGGGCCTGTTCACTATGCAGATGGTCAAGTCCAGGAGGAGGAGTTTGGGAAGTAGGTTAAATGATAGTCTACTGCTGGGTATGTTTTGGGTTGGCATGCAACAGAAAGTTAAGACGATAATCACAAAGTTTTCTTATTCTTTGGCCTAAAGTTGAATGCTAATGCAGGTGACCTGAGTTTTTGAGGGTTAGACCCTGATAAGTTCAGGATATTTGGGCTTCCAGCTGAGTGTACGATGAGCACTGTGGCTTGGTGATTTGCTATTATGTGGTTTGTTGGGCATGAATTAGCAGCACAGCCATGATTTCAGCTGCGTAACTGTCTGACTCGTAGCGTTTCTGTAAATCAATCTTTTGAGGTGGAGCCAGGGTGTGGCAGCGGGGTGAAATAATTCATGATAGAAAGGAGACTCAGTTTCACAAACTCTGATACGGGAAACATTGGGATTTGCAAGCCTCAGCATACAGAAAAGGAAAAATGCATAGGAGAAATGTGTTATTATAGCATTAGATAATAATTGTTTCAATATTCTTATAGTTTTTATGCACTTTTACGAACAGTTAGGAGAAATCTTAATGTTGTAACATACTGTGTATACGACGATAAAAATGAAGCCATAAAGCATATACAATGTGATTTTCCAACCGTCTAATTGGCATAATTTGATGTCTGAATTGTTTCTCGCGAATTCGATTGAACTTGATGCTATTCAATGCCACACATTAGGTTAGGTTCAATGGCGATAAATTTCGTCAATAGAATTATATAAACAAGTGGAGAAAAAAACAATGAAATTAAAACTTTCTACTTGGAACAATCAAATTAAAATTCATATTTAAGTTTTTTCAAAGGCGAATACTTGGAAACCAAGCAAAAGGCAATTGGTTAAATGATGCGATCCCATTAAACTTTCTTCTGAAGTTTAGTTGGAAAATATAACCCTTGAAATACAGAGGTCGCTAGTCGGCGCTACCGCTAAAGATGACGGTGACAAGGTTAATGAGATTGCTGCCAAAACTAACGACAAGACCTTCACTTTCTTCTTCATCTTTTCCATTAAAATGTTCATTTTCTTCCACATCATCATCATCATCACTGTCTTCGTCCGACGTCGTTTCGAGCACTGCTGCTGATGCTGTTGATCTTGGTGATGAAGAAGATAATGATGTACCCATCTACTCTAACCCAACTGCTCCTTCGGCGGTTAAGCCCATGATACCCACTCTTCTTCAGCCACGCGTTGTGGTCTACGATGGGGTCTGCCATCTCTGCCATGGAGGTTTCAGAAATCCCTTTTCCGCTTTTCCTTTTTTTTTTTTTTTTTTTTTTTGGGTGTGTGTGTATTTTGGGCTCTGAATTTCTAGGTTTTCATTTCAGTCCAATTTGTCAGATGGGTTCTGTTCTGTCTAAAGTGGTTTTCTTTCTTTCCTTTTCTCCCCGAAAAACTGATAAACAGGGGTGAAGTGGGTGATTAAAGCAGACAAGTACAGGAAGATCAAATTCTGTTGCCTTCAATCGGAGACTGCTGAGCCTTATTTGAGATTGTGTGGTCTTGATCGAGAGGATGTTCTTCGTCGCTTTTTGTTTGTTGAAGGCCCGGGGCTATATCACCAAGGCTCTACTGGTTAGTACCTCTCACCATTCTTCAATTTTGTAATTGGTATGCTTTAGATGCTGGATTTGCCTGTTACTAGTACTTTGCATTGAGGTTGGTTTTGGGTTTCTATGTATTCTCATGACACTCACCTCAAGTTCACATCTTTATTCATGGGCTTGCCCTTGTTTGAAAAATTAATTCATTGCTCAGTTACCAGTCTTAGTAAAGTAACAAAACTAAAAATGGGTACTAATAATAATGTGGGACTTGGTATCTGTAACTCCTCTGTTTTAGACATGTTCTAGATAGGAAGCACAGAAGGGTTGGTTTTCTTAGGTGTGACCAGGAATAATATCGAATTACATTGCAAAATCTGAGTAAAGACTATAACCCATACTAGACATTCCACATTCTTTCAGTATTTGATTCTGGATTGTAAATGGGGATTTCGATATATTGCTTTTGTAAACTAACCTTCTTTTATTTGCACCCATAATTCTGTCAATGCTGTTCGGAAAATAAAACCAATTATGAAAACTTTGAGGGAAAATGCAAATTGTATATGAGAGAGAGAGACACAAGATTAGAAAAGTCCATCTTTCCAAATCAAAGGACACAATTTATACACTTTTAATTTAGATCTGATTTTCTTTAACTGCTTAATCATGGCTCTTTGCATGGGCTTTATAATAAACATGTTGAATTTTTGTTGCACAGCTATGATTAAAACAGGAATGAACTATGTAACTTCCCAGATATTTGGGTTTGGGGTTAGGTAGACATGCTTGATCCTTGTATAATTAATAGTCTTACTGCAACCTTTCCATAGCCCATCTTTCCAAATAAAAGGAACTTGGTTTTAGTTTCCCTTTAGTAGACTTTCTTCGGCCATAATAATTGAAAACGCAGAGGAACACTTTTGAACCTTACATCCACACCATTTCTGAAGGTTGATACCATTAGGTTCCTCGGGATGGATGTCTAAGATTCTGGGGATTCTTCTTTCTTGTTCTGATAAAAATCGTAGCAAGAAACTTAGTTTCAAACTTGACTCATTATTCTGTGCATAATTCTAGTTCTAAACTTTGTTGTTCGAGAGAAACTTTCTGCTCTTGGCTTTGAGTGAACAAGACTTTAATCATGATAAACTAATAGAATTTGGGCAGATTTTTATGTATATGAATGTATGAATGCAAACCATGTCAGTTGCAAGTGCTTTTCCTTTTAGCCTGCATCTCATATTTTTTGCTTGTAAGCTTTTGAAAATGTGGTCTAAATTTCTCAGTTCATATGTTTCTGCAGCTGCACTGAAAGTATTGTCATACTTGCCTCTCCCTTACTCTGCTTTAAGCGCATTCATGGTAATCCCAACTCCTCTGAGGGAGATTGTCTATGATTATGTTGCCAAACGGCGCTATGACATCTTCGGCAAGTCTGAAGATTGCTTAGTCTTGCAAGAGAAAGAGTTGCTGGAGCGTTTCATTGATAGGGAAGAGATAATGTATCGAGCTCGACCAGATTTTTAATTAGCTCCCATAAAGCTAGCTATCACCTACGTTTTGGTTATGGTTGATGTAAAGAAATGAAATAAAATATATCATTCTGTATACAATGTGGCTATTTTGATTACCATAATGTGATACAACAGTTCAGTCCTAGATTGCAGCTTTGAGCTGTGGCATGCGTTCCGTTCTTTTATAAGCTAGATAAAAATCTTGGTTTGAGCAGAGTCCATAAAAAAGCCTCAAAACGTTTTAACTGGTGCAACTAAGAGGAGGGTCCGGGGGATGCAGAAAAAGCATATGCAAACAAAACGCTTCTACTGGTGTTATAGGGCTCAACAAAGAACGAAGAGCCCTCCAAAAATAGGCGTATGCCCCAATATGCGGCGCGCACACGGTATTCTTTAGTAAAAGGCGAAAGAATAGTTCGCTTTGTGCTCACCGCAGGGCTCCGTGGTTTACAAGTGAGGGCTCAATACGCATATATACTTGCTCTTCGATGCTAGTTTTGTCTTTCGCCGGCGATGTGGGATTTAAGGTTTCCATCATTCCGCCAGCTGGACTTGAGAAGCATAGTTCTCAACTTTTTCGCCTTGAAAGGAATAAAAAATACATTTTATGCCCAACAACTGTCTTCGTTAGTCCATTCAGGTCATAGAAACTATTGAAAGGTGAGTTAAACACTGCTTCAAAATGAACCAGACCAGGTTCATATTTCTCCTTTGAAACTTCTCTCAACAACTGTCTCCATTGAATTATAGGGCTCAGCCAAAGATGACTAAGTCCTCCAAAAATGGGCATATGCCGCTAATTGCAGCGAGCACACGGTATTCTTTAGTAAAAGGCGAAAGAATAGTTCGCTCTGTGCTCACTGCACGGCTCCGTGATTTCCAAGTGAAGCTCAAGCTGCCTAATATATTAGCTTCTCAGATCATAGCATGGAGCCGATCACACCCTTCATCACCCAACAAGGTGGTAGCCGCCACCAACAGCACCGTTAAGTTGTTGGTTTTGTAATGAAATATGAAGTGCTGGAAATAT